GTAGCCTTACTCTTCCAATTTTATTATCCTTTCTCATGCCACGGCGCAGGTTTATTTGGCTAAACATAGCACTCTTATAGCACGAGAATGTATTGCCTTAGCCAAAGTGAACCCTTCTCAAATTTGGTGGTCTAAGAAGGACAAATTGGTTTTGGTGGTCATGCGTTATATATGGTTTTCCTCTTTATGTCTTCAATGAACAAGCATTAGCAAGATGAAGAAGGATTTGAGGTGTTTCCATGCATTGCATGATACAGCAAAGCTTGTTAAGAAATTCTACATGAAATGATTTCCCCTTTTTCAGGTCTAAACTAAAAAACACCATGGCATCTTTGTTTCAAGAGAAAAATGGGCTGATCTTTTGAGCGAAAACGGCCCTAATGTGTATTGGATAAGTAGCCCATAAAACTGTTAGTTGGGAATCTGGAAATGGGCCTTAAAATGGCTTTCTTCAATATATATTTTTTTCAATTTTAGGCTTCATTTAACATTTCATCTTAAAATCATTTTTCCACACATGATTTTCTTTAAAATTTTAAATTTATAACTAGTAGTTACTTTTAACTATTTGTTTATATATTTTTGTTAATTTTACTTGATATTTATATATTTTTAAGATTAATATATATATATATACACGGTTATAGCACAAAACATAATTAACGATCGAAGCCATAATTTTGGTACAATAGTGCACTTTCTTCTTCACATGTTTAGATAACATGCAGTGGGGGCAACACTCACCAGTACCTACCATTGGAGCTGGTCAAAAAAAGAGTACCTACCATTGAAATCGAAAGGCTAACATCATTCTTACCTAAGTTTCAGAAATTGCACGTGCCCCACTCCAAGCCACACAATATTGGTTGAGGCCAAAAACTTCAAATCCGAAATCAAATCAAACAAGAATATGTTCCTTACTCCTGACAGATTTCTCCTGCCAAAAATTTCATAAAAACCAAAGGTAAATTTGTTGATAGGAAAATCTCACATCCACAATTTAATAAAAAAAACATATGAGTTAAATATAAGTAGAATTATTTTATTTATTACTAATTGTAACTAAATTTGATAGGAGTCTTGTGTTAAAACCTATATATTCAATTTTTATATAGTATAATAGGCTAGATTACACCCTAAAAAGCTTGTTGTAAGCTTATCTAACATGATCCAAAGTTAATATTGAGCTTACATGTAACAGAGTTACTAAACCATATGATGGTACCCAACATTTATAGCAGGTTTGCACTTGAGATGATATTTTGAGGATTTAACAAAGAAGTATATGAGTTAAATATAAAAAGTATTACTTCACTTATTGTTAATTAGTTTTATGTTGTGTGAGAACTAATATCCTTAATTTATACAAAATTCACATAGAGTCAGTGTCTTCATGTACAGTTGACTCATCAAAATGAATAATGTCGAACTTGGTTCAATTTGCCCTTGAGAATTATGGGGCTTCTTCCAAACACCACAACTCACTAGTAAGGATGGTAATTTTCTTTGAAACTTGCAGAGATAGAAATTTAAAAAATATTCCTTTTAGTAGAGTAGGGAAAGAGACATTTTTTTCCCAAAAAGTATAAATTTATTTATACTTTATTATAAATATATTACCAATTAATTTTTACTTATTCAATTCAATTGATTGACCCAACCCAACTTAAAATTGGCTGGTCTGATTCCTTTTTCAATTTCTCCATACCCAATTCAACAAAATCAATTCAATAAATCAATTGTCATTCATATAGCAATATGTATTTACTGAACTATATGTATGATGTATTTGCTTGTTTGAGTTGTATCAAATTTTTATTTTTTTATTTACTAAAAAAAATAAAATAAAATTCCGTATAATTAATATTTGACAAAAAAAAAAATTTCGTATACCTATGAGACCTACCTTTCCCTATGAGTATGAGAATGGAGAATATTTTTGATCCCCACAAAATCTTTGCAAAATTTCCTGTACCCATAAGTGACAAGTATGAACATAAAGAGAAAGTCCTCACCCTCACCCTCGTAGGCATCCGTCGCCATCCGTACTCACTTGACCTATGTACTGTCTCCTCTGGTATACTCGAGTGCACCCCAACATCTTATTGTAGATGGACAGGAAAAAGTACAATGCAAATTGGGATACAGCTATGCGCGCATTTTTTCTCTCCTCTCCCCACCATTTGTGGAAGTGGAAGTGGAAGTGGAACAGGGAGGGATTGGATTTCGTGATAACTAATAAATTCCTCAGAGAAGAATTAGAGATCCCCTTAACCATGATGTGTATTATATTGGACAATTAGCAATGGATAATTTGGAGTCCCCAAAATGTCCTCGTACCTGATCTATAATTTATTAATGGTGTGACATTTACACTAGTATAAACTGATCATAACTCTTTGAAAAAAAAAAAAAAAACCGAATAAATTGTTGGCCTAGCTGATAAGTTTGTTTGATCTCATTTTGTTTAATTGAACAATATTGAATATTTGATTCTTCAAAGAAAATATAATAAGATAATTTCTTATAAAATTTTTAGTATTGAGATCAATAACATTCATAAATAAAATTAATGCAAAACTTTGTACCCAAAAGAAAAATAAATGCAAAATTAGTTTGATCTTGGTTTTAATTAAAATCTAGCCCATTACAAAAACAAGTCGACTATATGTTCTAACTTCTAACCCATTTTTGAAGAAAAATATGAAAAAACCCGGCCAAATCCAGTCAACTAGGCTGACTTGATAACTCCTTAATTAACACGAATTGGTTAACTTCCAACTTAAAAAAAAAAAAAAAAA